TTTGTGGGCTCTAGCATATCTGCCACCACCACCATTATCACTACTAATGCCACCCTATCGCCACCACAACCCCCATTGCCCTCATCATCCATATCACCAACATTACTACCATCACCATCACCATCACCACTGCTACTATTGCCACAACCACCGCCACCACCTACCTTCGCCCCCACTAAGACCACCACTATAACTGCATCATATATGTCACCATCAACCACCGCCACCCCTACCACCATCACCCATAGCTAGTATTGTTGCCAATACTACCATGCTACCACCACCTCCCACCTTTGCCTCCATCATCACCACCCTAGCTCACTACCTACACCATTGTCTTTAATATTTCTATATACCACTTCACCACCCCCACCAAGCCACCAACCACCACAATTATTGACACCATCATACTCCATTATCACTCTTCACCGTTGTCAATATTCCACCACTTCTTCCATTAGCACTCTTCACCGTTGTCAATATTCCACCACTTCTCATTCCCACCAACGCTGCCACCAACTTTGCCCTTATCGTTATCACCATTAATCTGATCACTACTACCCTACCCCCAACCATTAAGGTGGTGGTAAACGATGGTCTTATGGAGATGGTAGGTTGGAAAGGGTAGTAGTTTGATGATTTTGAAAAAACGATGAAGGCTGTGGTAATGAGTGATAGGGTGGTTATGATGTTAATGATGGTGATGGTGGATGGATAGTGACAATGGTGGTAGGAGAGTATGTGACAACAAGTTATGGAGATCGGTGGTGTTAGAGGAGGCAACAACACATTGACGGTGGTGGTGGTGGAGAAGGTAATGGATGGGTAGTGACACTTGCGACAATCATGTGTGTGGGTGTACTGGCGGTGATTGTGATGGTAGTGAATCTAGTGATAGTAGTGGTAGGAATAAGGTAATTACAGTGAGATGATAAAAGAGAATGGTGAAATTAGACTAATAATAATTTTCAAACTTAAGCTCCTTGCATTTGTTAGGCAATTTATCCAATTCAGTACTTAAATTTCAGTAGATATCGAGCAATTTGCAAGTTAAAAATATTCAACATTTAGTACTTAATTTTCAGTTTTATTAAACATTACCTTAGTGAGGATTTTATCAAAATCAAATTTGGTTTTTCTCTAATTTCAAAATAGTTAGAAGATCCTCCACCTGAACGAATTTTACTTTATTACTTACCAAAAATCGAAAAAAAATATTTACTTTATTCTAAAAGAACTTGAATTTTGAGTATTAAAAATAAATCAAATTTGCTAACATGGATGGATAGATCTTCACCATTCATTATTAAGAAAAATAAATTGGAGAATTCCGAATTATTTAAAAATTGGAGAGGAGACTAATTCATCAACATCAATTTTCCCAGACTAATTGAGCAAATATCAATAATTTTTCAATTACAAATATTATGTTTTGATTTAAGAAATCTAAAATCAAACCTATTTGTTTTTAAGAATTTGGTCGTAAAATTGTCGAAACCGTCATTTATTATTTGATATCATCGAGGAAAATAACCAAAGGAAACAATAAACACAGACTCTAATAACAAACCAGAATCTAATTTATTATAGTCATGACATTACCATTGAGATTCAGCATTACAAGAAGCCCCCTGCCTATTTAATAGTGATACCCTGATGAAGTTCCAACACCATTATTGAGACTTTTATCACTTAAAATTTGAATGTTGAATGTTGATTTTATATTTTTATTTTTTGGTAACGGAGAAAATTTATGGTCTGTTCTCAACGAATAGAGGTGCACTTATATCGCTCAAACTCATTAGTCTGAGTAGAACTGAGGGCAAATCTTGGATACATGAATTGATCCCTCAACACATACACCAGTTAAATCAGGACTTGCGCTTAGGTGGAGACACGGACCTACACCAGAGAGTTGAATACGATTCATCCAAACAATTGAGATTTATCTTACCAACCAACCACGTTTTTGTCACTCAGATGACTTGAACTTTTGACTTCAAAAAGACAAAAGTTTTCACAAAATAAAAAGAACCACTTAGCCAAATGCCCATTGGTTAAATGTTGAATTTTAATAGGAACAGGTTAGGCACAATAAGTTTGGATAAACAGCATAATTGATTTAATTAGTTGTAACTAGTCATTGGTAGCTCATTTACTAAACAAGACAACCTTAAATAATATGTTGTCTTGCTTGTCCAAAGGGGTTGAGTATGATCTTGAATACCAACCAGTCAATAATCGAGCTTAAGCTCGAACGCAAGAATTACCTTGGTTCATTTTACCAAAGATATGACTCGAATAAAAGCTCGAACTCACTTATATTTTAATCAAACTATTCCATTTAAATTGTGCTCGAGGTAGGGTTGATAATCGTTTTGAACTATTCAGGTTCAGTTCAGATTTGATTTATATAAGACTCGACTCGAGTTTGACTCGTATTCTAAATGAGCCGAACTTTAACAATTTTTTAGGCTCGTTTAAAAAAACGAGTTTAAAAAAACTCAACTCGAGCTAACAAAGCTCAGCTCGTTTATGTATAAAATAGTCAAACTACTCAGACTCAACTTGTTTTGGGCTCGACTCGAAAATAAGTGAAACTTGAACAATATTTTAAACTCGTTTAAAAAAACAAACTAAACAAATTCAACTTAAGCTCGTAAAGTTCAACTAAATTATCAACTTAGCTCGAAGTTTGAAAAACATTAATAAGTGGGAGCTTAAACTATAATTTTTGAAGCTCGTTATGAATTCAAACCGAGTCCGAATATGGGGAGCCCCAATTGTTTTTAAAAGAGAGAGATATAGACCCTCGTTGGTGACGAAGAAACCAATTTACTTTTTTTTTAAAATTATTTTAAATTATTAAATAAAAACAAAGATTGTATAACTCCTTGGGCCACCTCACTTTTACCCTCCCTAAAAGTGACAGGCATTCTTACCTCCATGTTTAAATTCTAAGCTCAAATGACGTATCAATTTGAATAACAGATAATTGACCCATCATCACTCTAAATCCGACCCATACTTCTCTCCCTCCCTAATAAGGACTGTTTAAAATTCCGCCACCCGATCCGTTTCGCATCCAATTATTGGAATTTTACAAAATTTTGGCTAGCCAATAATTTTTTTTTAATATTTTACAAAAACAAGGGTAAAAATGCGAAATATCTATAAAAATTGTACTAGGGGTGTCTATAGGCCGGGCCGGACGCTTATTGACCGAGCCGGGCTTCGAGTAAAAGTTGGTTACCCATAGCCCAATCCACCACTCATTAGGCAGGCCTTTTATATATATGTATATATACAATATCATTTAAAAAAAATTTAACTTAATATTTTTGTAAATTATATTTTTGAATTAAAAGTAGAGTCAAAATAAACAAAATGTAAATAATAAATAATTTTATTTATGAATAGGAAAGAAACCTAACTTTTTTTTTTTTATAGACATATATTGCCACCAAACTTTCAAAATTTCAATGATCAACTTTTTTCCAAATAATTGGGTGAAATAACAAACGAGCTTGGCGAGTGGGCTTTTGGGATGAGTTTTAACCAATTTTTTACGGGCGGACTCATGGGTCAGGTAATGAGTTTGATGGCAAGCCAAACCTTCTCTAGGAGGATATTGGACTTGAACTCGAGTTCAAATGGGCCAATTTTTTTGGGCAGAATAACAAAACTTGTGGGTCAACCAAAACCATGAACACCTCTAAATTCTGCCTTCCCAACTGACCCATGCATAATTAAATTTTTTTTAAAAAATAATATATTTAGTATAAAACTTCATCATTTTATATGCTTATCAACTTATATTATATTTAGTATAAAATTAAGTCATTTTTCGCACTCCTACCTGGCTTTCGAGTCCATTTTTTGGACGGAATTCAACTCAGAACATTACCCTTGATCAGGTAGTGTTAGCCAAAATATTAATCTTTCACAATTCATCGACTCAGAAGATGGAATGCACTATTTTCTATCCATCGGCTCGGGTGAACAGCCCTATCCCTAATGAAAGATTATTACATAACATTCTTTAACTTAATGAAAAACAGAAAATTTTAAGAAAAACATTAAGCCCATACCTACACACCTAAAAAGACACGTTTAAAATATTTGCAAACTCCTAAGAATAACACAAACCAACTAAAAATGTTGGTATTTGGGTACTGTCCTTTAGCCATAAGGTTGGCAAGCTGGGAGATAAATTTGCTGTTCTTTATGGGTATTACCATCCAACATAGAACAATCCCAATACTATAATGAAAGAAACAAACAAGAAGATGTTTCTATTGCATATATGAAACAAAATCAAAATCTACTTCCGGGACAATCAAAGCAAACCTACGACAAGCCCAAAGTACAGAGGTAGAAATTAGCAAAACAAATCTTCTTGTCAAGCCTTGCCGCCCAATCCCCTCTTTTCTTCCATCTTTGTCTACTGCCTTTACAACGTTCCAAATCCATTTTCTTTTAGGACAAAACTACACTCTGAATCCTTAAACTATGATTCCGATCTCACATCACCATCTCTAATTATTAAGTTTCTCAAATTGGCCCTTCGCTTAAACTACTTGAATTAGTTTCGGGTTGTCCTAAAACCAAACGGCCATTGTGTGCCATTAGTTTTGTGGACAAAGTGAAATTAATATATAGTTCAGAAGACAAAATGATACAATCTTGTCATCCAATATGTAATGGTCATCTACATTCGGGAGAATGAGAAACCAATTACTATATTCGGGGGTGCAATATAAGAAACATGATAGTTGAGAAAACAGTGTGAGACAGAAGCATAATTGAGATGGGTCAAAGTGTAATTTATCCTTTCTTTTATTTTCTCCGTCATAGCTTGTCCGTTCTCCAAAACCCCTCTTTCACCTCCATTTATATGCTTGGATTCCTCACTTCACCTATAGAAAAACAGTGGGAACAGACCATTGGCTAAGAGAAGAACGGGGAAGCAAAGGTTATAGTTATCGGTCACAGGTGCAATGGCAAGGCACAACCGGAACAACACGAATAGAAGCCTCGAGAGCCTGTTGGGCATGGACAAATCTGTACAGGTGAAGAAAAATGTGGTCAGGCAGGCAACAAGCAAGGTGATTCCAGGCCAAGGTCTTGAATTTAAGAACCTGTCGTATAGTGTCATGAAGAAGCAGAAGAAGGATGGTGAGTGGATCACCAAAGAAGCTTACCTTCTCAATGATATCTCTGGCCAGGCAATGAGAGGTGAAATCATGGCCATCATGGGACCTAGTGGTGCCGGGAAGTCCACGTTTCTTGATGCCTTGGCTGGCCGGATTGCTCGAGGGAGTCTTGAAGGATCTGTCAAAATTGATGGAAAGCCAGTTACTCCCTCTCTCTCTCTCAAACACAGACACACACAATCACAATCATGTAAGCTGCTCTTAAAACATGGTTGGTTTTATCAATTCTGAGACAAAACATGGTTGATGTAGGTGACAACGAGCTACATGAAGATGGTTTCGTCTTATGTGATGCAAGATGATCAGCTCTTCCCTATGTTGACAGTCTTTGAGAGTTTCATGTTTGCAGCTGAGGTTAGGCTTCCGCCCTCCATTTCCAGGTCTGAGAAGAAGAAAAGAGTCAACGAGCTTCTTGACCAGCTGGGATTAACGGTACCTACTGTGTGTGTGTGGCTCTGCTTGTGTGCGGTTAAAACAGAAGTTTGACTTTGTTATGGTTATGCAGAGTGCAACACATACCTACATTGGTGACGAGGAAAGGCGTGGAGTGTCAGGAGGAGAGCGACGGAGGGTGTCGATAGGGGTAGACATAATCCATAAACCTTCACTGCTGTTCCTTGACGAACCTACCTCAGGTCTTGATTCATCAAGTGCTTTCAGTGTTGTGGAAAAAGTGAAGGACATTGCTCGAGGAGGTAGCATTGTCCTCATGACAATCCACCAGCCTGCCTTCAGAATACAAATGCTCCTGGACCGCATTACAGTCCTCGCAAGGTGCCAAAACCCAACCCCGCTTCCAAATTTGCAGATCCAAAGCTAGATTATAAACTACCTTATGGATTTAGAGCAAAAATGATGATGGAAAATACACTTATATGAATTAAAGACCCTATAAATTCAGATCTTGGTGCATAAAATGCTCCCAATTTGACTATATTCTGATTAATACTTTGTGACTACAGAGGCAGACTGGTATATTTGGGAGGCCCAACTGCTCTTTCTGCTCACCTCTCTGGATTTGGAAGGCCGGTTCCTGATGGTGAAAGCAACCTAGAGTATCTCCTAGATGTGATCAAAGAGTATGATGAATCGACCATCGGGCTTGATCCGCTGGTGCTGTACCAATGTGATGGCATCAAACCTGATCAAGTGGCCATGACCCCTATTCCCAAACCGCTAAAAACTCCTCAAACTCCTTATCGCAAGACCCCAGGGCCTAAGCACATTAGCCTTCGCAGCCATCAATTCTCGTCAGGAAATATGACACCTCGAGCACATTCTGGACCACTTGAGTATGCTGATGATGATGACGATGACAATTTTGATAACTCCCTAGAACGTAGACCTGTTCAGACACCTATGAATATGAACAGTGGTTTCTATAATCAGCGGTTGGCTTCTCACTTCTACAAAGATTTCTCGGTTTGGCTCTACCATGGTGTCAAGCGAACTCCTCATCGTCCACCATCATGGACACCAGCAAGAACTCCAGGAAAGACACCTGTTTCAGGAGCAAGAAGTCAAGTTTCAAGTAGATATCCGACCCCTGCCCAAACCCCTCCCCGCACAAAGACCCCAGTAGTCTTCAGCCCAGAACCAGATTCATATGCTGCTTCTTATGAAGATTTTGAAATGGAAGTGCTTGATGAGCCAGCACATGGACCCAAATATGCCAATCCATGGCTCCGCGAGGTTGCAGTCCTATCATGGCGCACTGCACTCAATGTGGTCCGCACTCCAGAACTGTTCCTCTCTCGTGAGATCGTTTTAACCGTGATGGCTCTCATTCTATCCTCACTCTTTAAAAAACTAGATGCTCTTGACTTTAAAAACATCAGTCGGCTTCTTAATTTCTATATCTTTACAGTTTGCCTCGTCTTCTTTTCGTCCAATGATGCTGTCCCTACTTTTATCCAAGAACGCTTCATCTTCATTCGAGAGACCTCTCACAATGCTTACCGAGCTTCTTCTTATGTCATATCCTCCCTCATTGTTTACCTGCCATTTTTCGCCATTCAAGCTTTCACATTTGCAGCAATCACCCAATTCATACTTAAGCTCAGAAGTAGTCTAATTACCTTCTGGCTGATTCTTTATGCCTCGCTCATAACTACTAATGCTTATGTGATGCTAGTTAGTGCACTTGTTCCAAGTTACATCACTGGTTATGCCATTGTGATTGCCACAACTGCTCTCTTCTTCCTATCTTGCGGGTTCTTCTTGAAAGCATCTCATATTCCCGGATACTGGAAGTGGCTCCATTATATTTCTGCGATCAAATATCCATTTGAGGCATTGCTAATAAATGAGTTCAAAGGCAAGAAACATTGCTACAAAGGCAATTTCTCGGACCTCTCACCTGGTCCTCTAGGAGAACTGAAGATCAGCAAACTGCACAACGACTCCTTGGCAGAGCTGCAGCGGTCCCATCCACTACAGTGCATGTTGATTGGAGAGGATGTTCTATTCTCTATGGATATTAAAATGGAGAACATCTGGTATGACATTGCCATATTGCTAGCTTGGGGAGTTCTATATCGGCTCTTCTTGTACGTGGTTCTTAGGTTTTATTCCAAGAACGTGAGGAAATAAGCAAGGGTCTGGACTCTGGATGCTATGGTGTCTATTTTGATTCCATTTCTGTCCCTTTTCTTTCAGATTGTTATAACATAATTCATACTGAAAGCAATACATAATTCATTTCGTTACAAAGGAGTTAAAAAAGCTACCTGCTTAAGTTTACCAATACTTAACATGGTCCTTTGCGCCTAGGTTGATGATGCAGCTAAGCTAGGTAGTATCAACGCAAGTAATCCCTGGTTGAGTAAAAGTAGATATGGTTCCTCCATAAAAATTCTCTTTAAAACTATCAGTGCCTTCAATATTGACCAGGCAATCACAATCTTTTTGATTATAAGTTCAACATCCGAATGACTGTTTATAAGAATAACTGTAAATATTACAACACAAAGAGAAGCATAGAATGATGATGGTCCAGTTCTTCTTTAGTACCGGATTAAAGGACAACACAAACCTTTACCGCCCTCTTCCTAATTATTGGAACATGTCAAACCTCAATCTAAGTCCACAAATATAGAGGTACAGGCAGTTCCCACCTGACCAAATCTACTGCATATTTGTACCACAATAATCTGAGGGTCACACCAGCTAATAACTTTGCATGAACCACGTAATAATGTAAGTGTAAAGACTTCAAAAATTTCCTGCCAGCAAGGGACAGGCCAGAAATGGCATCCAGAATGACTTCATCACTGGAACATCTTCATTTTCCCCATTTCTTTTCTCATGCAGTTTAGATCAATTTTAAGCAGCAGACTCTATTTTCTTCCATTTTAAGCTGGAGATGGTTTGCTCCCCATAGTCAGACGGAACAGACAGTGGATCCAGTTGTCTTCATCCTTTTTGATTTAGTTTAATAGCAAGGCCTCATCCATTTTTCCCTAAGGCGAGGTCAAAATTGAAATGATGCAGTGAAGATAAGTATTCTTTTTTTGAGTAAATGAGCATAAGTTTTCAAGATCTAATGATTAATTGAAGACATTTCAACTGAGCCCTGGTTGGCATGCAAAGCTCAGGAAACACAACATGCGCTCGATCAAGGATGGTAACTTAACAGAATCATTAAAGCAACAGCCCATTGCCATCAAACTAAACAAGGCTAAATTTCCCACCTCTGGCAAAGAAGCATAGAATACAGGATTTCCAGGGAGGAGCAACAATGAAAAGACAATTTTTTTCAGAAACCAACAAAATGTCTAGGATAGTGTAATACAAAATAAGGCATAAATCGTTAAAGGTTTCTACAAATAACCAAAGAAAGATCAGATTAAGAGAATTCCAAAAGTGAGCAGAACAAGAAGACGAAAAACTGGTGTGTCACCAGGGGTGGAGCCAGAAATTTCTCGTAGTGGGGGCAAATTTTAGCAACAAAATTACTACATGTACTTAATTTAGAGATCTAGTTTAGAGACTTAATGCATTGCTACAATTTAATTAGTAAAGAGACTACATACAGGGAGAAAGAACCACGAGACTCCTAATAGTGTCTTAAATACATGTTGAAGAGTTGAAATAACTAAATATTATTTAAGTTCATTTGATTGAGAGTAAAGAAATCTATTCTAAATGTGAGAAATTACAAAATAGATTTACCTGAATGAGTTTGTTTTGTGGGGGCAAATCTATACTATACAAAAATCTATCTGAAAATTTTGTTCTAAAATGAAATTGAGTGAGGGCAATCACCCGAGTGGCTCCGCCCCTGTGCCACAGAAGTGATCACTAAAAAAGTACACAAAGAGCAGATATTCAAATAGCAAAGCCAGCAAAGTCAAACCTGGTAATTTTATATATGGATCATAATTGGCAAGCAAATTGGGCAATCTTGCTTTCTAGTGAACTTCTGTCTGCTGCAACTACCTGGTCAATCTCCTTTCCATTTTTCAGAAAAATGGAAGGTTGGAACACTGCTAATATTCCATTCCACCGTGCAGCCAGATCCCTTGCCTCGTCAATTTCAACTTTCAACAACACAACTTTTGGGCAATTCCCAGCCAAGCTTGTATAAAGAGGAGATATGAAACAGAAGGGTCCACACCATGTCACAGTGATATACAATCCCGCCAGGCGAGATGTCCACGTAGCAGCATTCAACTTGTTCTCCAATTGGTAGCCGAAGGAATCCCAATAACTTGCCCTGTAAATAACCGAAACTAAATCAGGATAATCTAAACGCAAACCTATAAAAACAACATTGTGAACACATGTTCACTAATGCATGATGGAAAAGACAACATTTACCCATGCATATTGCATTGACCATCCATACACCAATCATGCCAGTACAACTCAGGGCCTTTTTCCCTTAGACCACCATTCTCTGTGTATTATCTTCTTTTAATACGTATTACGGAACCAATTATTTTCATGGATGACCTTCATTTCAAGGCTTTATTTTAGATACATTAACTTAAATATAAATTCCAGACTAGGTGTAATGGGAAGGTTGGACGATACGAGTTCGAATCGTGGAAATAGCCTTTCAACGGCGGACGTCTCATGAAGTGGGTATGCCCTTGTTTTTATATGCCCGATCATGAAATATTTTTATACAAATTTCAAATCACCATTTTCACATTGATGCAAATTTCTATCTTTAAAGGTGCAAATTAAAATTTTTGATCTTTGGGAGTGCACATTGATACAAATTTCTATCTTTGAGGGTACAAATTGAGATTTTTAATTTTTGGGGTGCACATTGATACAAATTTCTATTTTTGAGGGGATAAATTGAGATTTTTGATCTTTAAGGATACAAATTAAGATTTAATTTATAATTAACCCTCTGTATTATTGATAATTTTTTTCGCGGTCATCCCCATTTGAATTTATTACCGTTTTCATAGTCGGTGGTCGGAGTCTGTGTCCACCTCCACAAAGGCAAAATTCTCTCTCTCTCTCTCTCTCTCTCTCTCTCTCTCTCTCTCTCTCTCATATATCCTAGAAGCTTGAGGCCGTCAATTTAGAACCCTAGAAAAAGAACGAGACAATCATGAAGACCACGAAACCACTGACGGAACTCAAGCTCTCTGTACCACCTCAAGAAACTCCAATCTCCAGCTTCTTGTAAGTGTTCATTCCTTTTCATACCCACTTCCATTACGGAATCGATCTCCTAATTATCTCTATCTATATTTGTATACTGTTTAGCTTCTTTTGTTCTTGTTATTGAATTAAATCAGATTGAAATTGTTTGTTTAGTCCGTAATTTTCAGATCGCATTCTTCTTGAATTTTGTGAAAATGTCATATGTGTATCAGTATATAGGTGATTTAGTTTATGTTAATTTAGCAACTTATTTGATAATTCACCTTTCAATTGGTTCTTCAATCCCTATTTGTCTGCTTTGTAATCTTCTTGGATTTTGTGTTAGTGGCATATTATGCGTATGTCGGGATACATGTTTGTATGGATGTGTGAATTTCTGAACTGTATTTGGCAATAAGGATTTTATAAATTAAACATGTTGTTAATGTACAGGACTGCCAGTGGAACATTTCACGATGGGGATTTGCTTTTAAACCAGAAAGGTTTGCGGCTCATTTCTGAAGAGAAGGAACCTCGTGTAAGATTCTGTTGCGATTACATTTTTTACAGGGTGATTTATGATCTGATATTTCATTTTTTCGTATTTGATTGTATAGAAATTGTTTTATCACTTAACTTTGTCCATATTCATCTCAATTTGGTATGTTAGAAACTAGAGTGATTGTAGCTATGGTTGTTGAATGTCAAGGCAAATAAATCAACATTGTTCCATCACTGCCACTAATGAGCATTAGAGAAGGGCCATCTGATTGCAAATTTTGCTCAACTAAAATCATGAAACATCTTATTTCATTCATATATTGCTGAACAGTATAATTGTGTATGCTTCCAATTTCAGACGAGAATAATCAATGGATAGCATTTATCCATAAATCAAGCAATCTTTTTGGCTGAATAATCTGCTGAAGGGGATTCACTTGTCTGCAAACCTCAAGTTCTTTTTTTCTTTTTAAAGTTACATTGTTAGATTTTATTGGGAAAATACTCCCCTGTATAGTTCTGTACACAGTAAACATGATTAGTGAAAAATGGTAGGCCACAGCTTTTAGTGAACATTAGATTGGCTTTTGAGAAAAGTGAAATCACATAGTTATTCTGGCCCTTTGCCTTATTGATTGAATGCTTTTGTATAAAGCAATAGTCTAATAGAATCTTAGGCTTTATGGGGATGGTCAATGTGTCAGGAACTTTTACTAGGCACCAAACAGTATTATTCAGGTGGGCAACATGGTATTTAATTTCTTATGGGGAAACATGGCATACCACTAGTTCATCACATAATAGTTTTTACTTGTTATCTATGGTTCAATATTCTTATAATGATATGTATGTGTTTGTGACATAGAGGTTTATTGTTTACTTTCTTAGTTTACCCCCTATACCAACAAGACTTGCTGTTCTTGTTTACTTGGACAGCCTGTAGAAAGTAAGGAGATTGATCTTCAATTCTCATTGGAAGACCTTGAGACGATCAAAGTCATTGGAAAGGGCAGTGGTGGTGTAGTTCAACTTGTTCGCCATAAATGGGTTGGAACTTCATTTGCCTTGAAGGTCAGTACACAAGCAATTCAAATTTCAAATTCTTTTTAGCATATTGAACTTGGCTACTTAATCTAACATTGGCCAATTTCATTGAGATTTCTTTTTAACTATTACATAGGCATAGTGTGGTGCCACACACACAAGTTCTAAGATATTATGTGAACTAGCCAATTCTGAATGATCTGCTCCTGCTCTTGCTTTGAAAAGGAGTGAACTGATTCACAGTTGTAACACATGTTTAAAACACAGTAAAATATTTTTTTGAAACAATCTAGATGGTCGAGACTCGAGATTTTGACTGAGTAAGTGAATTCTCCTTACTGATTGGATGAAACTATAGAATGATGGACATTTTCTATACAGTTTTCTATTAGGATACTAGTTCACATACCCAACTGCAGAAATTTTTGCCTCATAATTCCTCCATGTTGGATCATTTAGTATGAGACTTGAACTTCATGGCATGATAGTTGTCTTGATATTGGCCTTCTCTCACTGATTTCTTTGTTTCGGTTGATTGATGCCCTAAGATTTCTTCTAATGAAGGCGGTTGATATTTTCTAATTCAGAAGTTCATAAGTGATGTGCCACAGGTTATCCAGATGAATATACAAGAAGATATCCGTAAACAAATTGTGCAGGAGCTGAAAATAAATCAAGCATCACAATGTTCAAATGTTGTAGTTTGCTACCACTCTTTCTATCATAATGGAGCTATCTCTCTTGTGTTTGAATACATGGACCGTGGGTCCCTGGCAGATGTAATCAGACAAGTTAAGACACTTCTTGAACCATATCTGGCAGTTGTTTGTAAACAGGTGTGTCTCTTCTTTTTCTAAAGAATCCAAGGTTTGGAGAGTTGCTCCACTCCTTTCAACAGTTTTGAGAAGTATTTTTTGCGGTTTGCCGAAATCATGCTTCTGTTACAGGTTTTACTTGGTCTCGTGTACTTGCACCATGAAAGACATGTGATCCATAGGGACATAAAGCCGTCCAACCTCCTAGTAAACCACAAGGGTGAAGTAAAAATTACAGACTTTGGCGTGAGTGCGATGCTCGCCAGCTCTATGGGCCAGCGGGATACATTTGTTGGGACTTACAATTACATGGCGGTGAGTGGAGTTACCATCTCTCAGTATTCAGATTTGAACCCTACATTAGCTGGTCCAGTTATTTTTGCTGGAATATCCTTTGTTCTCCTACTTGATCCATTAGTCTGGACTTTTACACTACTCAAGCATTGAAAGCTGTTTTTATATTGTCTTTTTTCTCTTTAAGCCTGAAAGAATCAGTGGGAGCAGCTATGACTATAAAAGTGATATTTGGAGTTTGGGCATGGTGATACTTGAGTGTGCTATAGGACGTTTCCCTTACATACAATCCGAAGATCAGCTAGGTTCGCCAAGCTTTTATGAGCTTTTGGAGGCAATTGTGGAAAATCCACCACCATCTGCTCCACCAGATCAATTCTCCCCCGAGTTCTGTTCATTCATCTCCGCCTGGTAATAAGAATAATTAAATAATACATTCTGCTTGTATTTATAGTTAGTGAATTGCATAGCAGTAGATTTTGTTACACACTTATCTTAAGAGGTCTCCATGCCAATATTGAAACTCAAGGGAATGACCGTGTTGCTTTTTTCTTGTCAAATGTCAGGGGATGTCAAAAAAATTTCCCTTTCTCCTTTTTATTGGCTATGGCAACTACTGCTTTTCAATATTATTTGTGTTTTACTTGATATATGTATCACGCAAAGTGGGTGTAACTTCTGTTTTCTAATCAGCCTCTTGGTCATACTGATACACCTTAATTTTGGAACTCTTTATATATGCACAAATGATTTGTTATTGATCCAACTGATTTATGCATGCGTAGCATACAGAAGGAACCTGGAGACAGATCGTCATCTTTGGACCTTTTGGTTAGTATATTTTTTTTCCTTACATCTTTGATAGTCTGTTCTATTAATTTGAAACTCAGACTTCTCGACCTCAATTGTGTTTCCAGAATCACTCATTCATCAAGAAATTTGAAGACAAGGACATTAATCTTGGGATTCTGGTAGGTAGCTTGGAAACTCCTGTTAATTTTATAGGGTAATCACTATCATGTAATGAGAGTCTTCGGTGTGTAAAATGTTTTTTATTCAAATGTATCAGCCAACAGTCATGCTCAAAGATTTACATAAATCTGATTGTAGCATTCTACTAAAATCTTTGTAACACATAGAAGGCTTGATTTTGACACACAATTGTGAGAGATAGTGCAATGAGATTTAGATTCTTTGTGATATATACATTCCTCTCAGTTTCTCTTGAATTTAAGTGAAATCTATTATATATAATTGGATTTTCACCACGAAAGAGATCCAACTTTATTTTTTTTGGTTCAACGATAAAGGGTGTTTAGGAAGTGTACCATAACTAATTCTCTTTTCAGTCTGGTCGAAGGCAGGTCATCCACATCGAATGTAAGGTACTCATAAGAGATAAATTCTTTATGAGTTGGACAAGCTGATTATCCGGCTTAATGGCAACAGTAGTTGAACCCATGAAAGCAAAGAGCTGCAGCACTGGCCCTCGCTAAGTTCTTGTGGTTGTTTACTGTAACTATGCTTAAATCAAATGGGATCCGGGTAGTAGCAATTAATTAAGGTTTAGGTAGGTGTGTTAAAATATGACGTGACTCATTAATCCGACATAAACTTAACGCAATAATCTATCTATCTATCGCCTATTTTCTTTCTCACTTTCTCCATTGATAATTTACTTCTATGTAAAGACTTGATTTAATTTTTTCTTCTTTCTCTCCTATTTTATCTCTCTCTCTATTTTATCTCACTGTTACCCTTTCTCTTTTTATTCTCTCTCTCATTATATCAATATTACAACAACATAATTACACCAGTTAGTTACATCAATTAGTTACAATTCAGTTATTCATATGTTTTAATAAACCAAACAATTATACAAAATTACAATACCAATTTAATTTGTCATTCAGTTATTTACATCAACCAAAAAATTACACCACTTAGTATCATGACATTATTACACCAATTATATACACCAAATTGGGTTTATTATTACACGAAAAAATTTACCATTACACCAAATTTAGTTTAACCATGTCGTGATACTAAGTGATGTAACATTTTAGTTTATATAAACAACTGAATGACAAATTGGGTTAGTGTTGTAATTTTGTGTAATTGTTTGATTTATCAAAATACATGAGTAACTGTTTGGTATATTATATGAAAATTGTAACTGATTGGTGTAATTGTGTTATTGTAACATTGATATAAAAAGAGAGAGAATAAGAGGAGAGTAACGATGAAATAAAATAGGGGGATAGAGAGAGTGTGAGAGAAAAAGAAAAAAATTTAATTAAATCTTTACATATTTGGAAGAAAAAAAAATTATCAATGGTAGATAGAAAAAAGAGAGAGAGAAAAAAATAGGGGGAGAGAGTGTGAGAGAATAATGTAAAGAGAGGTAAAGAGAGAGAGAATAATTGTGTGAGAAATAGGAGAGAGTGAAAGAATAAAAATTATACATAATTTAAGGAAGGGTAAGTAAGTGAAAAAATTCAAATGTTATTTGAATTTTGTACTTAATCATAATATGTTTTATTAAAATTGAACTTAGTAGATTAAAATATTTATCTATATACTTTCTCTCAAATAAGTCTAAAAAATTATACGCACACCAAAAAAATCATATTTTATTATTAATTTAACTATTTTTTTTTATTCAAATAGGACACTTCCATGGTTGAATTTTGTTTCCCAAATGATAACAGTGACGTAAGGTATATTTCAACATACGTAATTGTGTTGTCACTGAGTATTCTAGTCGAAGTAGTTAAATACTTTTAGTTGATTGTTGTTAAGTAGGTTACCAAAATGTGAAAACATCCATAGTTTAGATCATGGTTTCGATAGAAAGCCGTGCTACACAAACCTAACCGAGTATGACAATGTGACCATTTATGTTGGTGTCTCTAAGCTTACGTACCCCTAAATATATTTAGGTACTCACCTCAAGTTTTTTGTCTGAGGGTTGCTCTTTGAGATTCACAGTCAAAGGGCCAATTAGTTGTAATATTTAAGGGCTCAATTGATACACGAGTCATAGTTTGAGAGTTAAATACATAATTTATTCAATAGGTTGCCTAAAACACCCTTGAAGAAGGCACACGACCAACACACTCCAGATACTTTCGTTAGAAACTCTAACAGAAGGACTTGATTGAAATAATTAGATTGTTTAAGAGCTTAATTGACTAAAAAATAAATTCAGAAACTTAATGGACACATAGGTAATAATTTGAGGGTTAAATGCATAATTTACTAAAAAATTTTTTTTTTTTGCATATAATACCAAAAGATATTAGAGAAATTTTTGGTCATACCTAACTTATAGTTCAAAACATTTTTAAGAATATTTTTTTTATTATCAAAAACATCATTGACACTGCTTATAGTTTATATTCAAACATCACCAACACCTTTTGCCATTAAACCATCCTTTCCATCGAAAAAAATTATCAAAAATATTAAAATTGCCCTATATAAACCCCAAACAATCTTTCTATATAAAATTTGAGCAAATTAATTTTTTTTTATATATTAAAATTCGAACTAATTAAAATTCATTTTTTTACATATTAAAATTTGAACTGATTAAATTTAAATTTTTTAAAAAATAAAATATTTTTTACGTATTAAAATTTGAACAGATTAAAATTTATGTCAATTAAAATTCGATTCAAGTTAATTAAAATTTAAGTTGATTAAAATTTATATTTTTTTATGTATCAAAATTTGGGTCGATTAAAATTCAATATGAATTAATTAAAATTTGATTCGAGTCAATTAAAACTAATTTTTAATTGGATGTAAAAAAGTTTATAAAATAGAGGAGGTCTTAATGAAATTTAAAGGAGATATGAACGAAATTTTAAAAAAAATATATCACAAGTAATTTAGTAAAATTATATTATAGTTAAAATTTTTAATCTGTGGGTGACAATAAAAAATTAAAAAATAGGAAAAATGTTATTAAAAATATAATAAATTAAAAAATGTGTGGCCGAAATTTTGTTTAGATATTATTGTGCGCGTGTAGCGTACTCCAAAAATTTCAAAATTCAAAGGGATTAAATAGGAATTTAGTGTATCTTTGGCCGATTGAAATCGACGGTATCCAGATCCTCTCTGGTATCTGATCCAACTATTCTACAGTAATTCCCATTTCTGCAGCGTCAATTCAAACCCGCGTCTCTCTCCGTCCCTCGTTTATATCCATCCAGTCCAACACTTCAACTCTCTCTCTGTCTCGCTCTCGCACACACACACACACACACACAAACACAAGCACACAACCTCTCTCTGTCTGTGAACCAGTCAGTCTCCATCACTGTTTCCTTTCACAATGGTATAGTCTTCCACGACAGCCCAGCATGTCTCTGTGTTAGGGCTGTCTGAACCCTAGAAAATTTCAGAATCCAAAAACGAAAATTAAGTAAAAATGGTGTTCAGAGGCCGATTCTTCTCCTCTAAAAAATCTGACACTTCGAGCCCCGACGGCTCTTCCTCCACCACCAACAGCCCTCAATCCCTCGGCTCCAATTCTCCGATCCGATCGGATAAGAAGAAACCCAAATCAAGTAGTCAAACCTTAGTCAAAGATAGCTTCAGATCTCAATCCCAGAAGAAGAAAGACAAAGAAAAAGAAAAAGAAAAAGAAAAAGAAAAAGAAAAAATTCAGACCCAGACTCGAACTCGGACTCCAATTCGGAATTTTGACTTGGGAAAGCCGAGTTTGGGGACAAGTTCGAAGTTTAAAAAAGGTATGGAAGTGAAGGAAGTGCCGCCGCCGGCGTCTGTGTCGCCGATTTTGGCCTCTTCTTTGGGTTTGAATCGGATAAAGACGCGATCGGGACCGTTGCCGCAGGAGATCTTTTTTGGGTACAATGGTAGAGACAATAAGGGGCCGGCGCTTGGTGCTAGTAATTTGTCGAAGCCACTTGGTGGTGGTTGTGGCGGCGGCGGCGGTGGCAATGGCAGTGGCAGTGGCAGTGGCAGTGGCAGTGGCGGTGGGGTGGGTGGGAGTTTGGGGTCGGGGTCGGGGGTGAAGATGAAGGAGGGTGAGGAGAAGAGCAAAATGGGGCGTGTTGATAATTGTGTGGAGAATGGGAGTCATTCGGACAGTATGTCGACGGAGAGTGGGCCGTCAAGAGACCAGAGTCCGCATGTTCAGGCTCGGTCGAGGCTACAAAACGGTGAATCATCTTATGAAGCTGGTATGTTTATGATTCCTCTATAGATCTTGCCAATATATTGACAATGCGCATATGTTTTTATCTTTTGCTTATATTTATGTGTCTGAGACGAAAGACCAAATCACATGATAGGTATCAATGGTTCTTTTTTTTTTTTTTCAATATTTTTTAACTATGGTGTGATTTAGCATTTTTTCTTGGCTTGGCTTATTATGCTGGAGATAATGCACTCACGGTGTTGATGCACATGGGAGATGTGAAAGGAGACAAACAAACTGGGGAGAGCTGAGAGAGTTCTTAGTTAATATTAAGTCATGCTCCATTGGCTTACAATTTTCATGTAGGCAAGAGGTAAGTGCTGTCAATGGTTTTTGCCAATATGGCTATACAAAATAAAACGAAGGGGAGAATTTTGTGAAACAATTATGAGTGTCTTGGTTTGGTGTACGTGCTCTAGGTTCAAGCCAAGTCAAGCTTTGGCTAAATTTTGGTGCAAGTAATAAATAGCCTTGCATTGAAATTGATGGTTTTCACTGGTTACATGTGTCAATGAAGAAGATAGTAGATGCTACTGATGAAACTTTTGGTGCTTATAAAACTCATGGAACCTCATTGTTGGAAAACACGACACAACTTTCAGTTATCACGAGAAGCTACATATTTTCTTTTGAATTTAGGAAACTAAGGGACCCTGTTGTGCTGATTGGCAGTGAAACCAAGTGATTTTTATTTGCTTTATGGTGGATTCTGTTTTATGGAAGATGATCAGCATGAAGTTCCCTTAGCAGTTTAAGTCGCGTAGAGCAGGATAAAAGTATGAAGATTATGGGGTGCACCAAAGGGAGCCCATGAATTTACTTCATACACAAAACTCGAAGTGTCTTTTACTTAAGTTGGACAATTTATTCAACTACTAGATATTTTGCACTCATAGTTGTCCTTGTAAGTAGAGAATTAGACAGTTGAATAGTGTTAAAAAACGAGTTGGGTGGTTATTAGGAAAGAAATGAATGAAAATATTAATATTTCATGGATGGATGTGGTTAACTAGAGTTAAAAAAAGAGTTATGAATAGGTATTTGAGAAGACATAGGGTAGTATGAACATTTTAGGAGTGGATGATAAATCCTTTAATCTTCGTCTATTAATAGTATAGATCAAATTATGACATTAGTTTCAAGAGCATTCATTGTAGGTTTGTCAACGAATTGTGTGTTCGGACCGAATCTTAATTGATCCTAATTTGAATGCAATAAGGAAATATTCTTCTGAATTCAACCTTTATACTCGACTGATTTAATGTTTGTTGTCCACATTCAAATCCACTAGGAATCAGACATTCAATCTAAAAATTATCCAACTAAATAAGGGCTCAATCTTAGATAAATTTCAACTTAATTTCATATCAATTGTAAAATCAATCAACAAATTCAATTATATTTAGTGATAATTTCATCAAATAATGCATAGGTTTCAATGAATATGTAAATAAAGGGACTTAAATCTGACCTAAATGTTAGTTTAAGGCCATGATGCTACATGAATAGATATTGTGGAGTTCCATTAGAGTTCCTTTGGCCAGATGGCATCGTAGTCCTCATCTGAGCATTTATTCCTTCTTTCTCCTCCCATCATTGTAGTTGATTTTCTCTAAAACAACATCAGATGGAGGCGGGACACATAAAGAGAGAGAGGGAGAGAGAGTGGTGGGAGTGATGAGCATCGCGGGAGGTGGAGCTAGATAAAAGGAAGACTAAGTTTCTTCGTAGGGGTGTCAATTGTGTCGGGTTAATCGGTTATGTGTCGAGTTAAACAGTTGATGGGTGAAAAATATGTAAACTCGTACATGATAAGTTTAATAAACGGGTAAAAAATTTCAACACGAAGACGAACCGTTTAATAAACGAATGAAAAATCTCAACATGAAGATGAACCGTTTAATAATTGGATTACACGACACGACTCGTTTAACCCATTTAATTTTAAAAAAATTATATCAATAAATTTTAATATTCTATTTTTTTTACTGCCAGCTGTACTTGCTTCAAAAAAGAGAAATTTCTAACCAAATCTCACTTGAAAGTCACACTTGATGGCTAAAGAAAAGGAGAAGAGGCCACTGCCTTTTATAGGCAAGTTTGAAAAATTTGATTAGAAGGAATATGATATTAGTTGGAAAATGGCTTTGAAAATTTCTATTAGAGCAGGATTCGTTGTGGCATACGGTTATTAAAGACAAATATAAATTACAGGCTAATGAGTGGAATGCTAAAGGGGTTGAGAGGGGACCTTCCAGAGTGCATGAAAGTTCATTTCTTATGGATTATCTTGCTTTTTTTCTTGGAGGGTGAGTTTCATTGTGGGAGATGTAGTGAGGGCTCACGTTTGGGAGGATATTTGGAGGCAAAAATCTTCTTTTGATAGTCTTTTTTCTCGCCTTTATCGTATTTCTTGCTATCATGAGAAATTTATTGCCTATCTTGTAACATCTTATTCTTTTCCAGTGTCTTAGGATTTTGGTTTTTGTAAAAATCTTAATGATAGGAAACATTTAGAATTGTTGATATTACTTTCAATCCTTCATGATGTCTCTTTGTCCCAAAACTCTTTGGATGAGAGTTTGGACTATTGATACTTCGGGTGGATTTACATTGAGTGATGAGCCTTCACTTCCATTCTTTTATGCATTTTCTAAGATTTGGGATACTAGTGTTTCTCTAAAGGTGAAAGTTTGTGAATGGATAATTGCGCATGTTAATACTAATGATGTATTTCAAAGGAGAAGACCTATGACTTGTCTTTCATTTGGTGGTGTGTGTTGTGTGAGGGGTGGTTGAGAGCTTGGATCATCTATTATTGTATTGTCCTATGGCTTTATCATTATGGAATAAGTAGTTTGATTTAGTTGGCCTTTGTTTGGTGGCTTTGAGATCTATATTATCCATCTTTTGTTTAGTTTTTATGGGTTTAGGTGGAAGTAGAAAAGGGAAGACTCTTTGGCATTTTGGTTTTTTTGTAACAATTTGGATTTTATGGATGTAGAGAAATGCGAGAATTTTGAGGATAAAGGGAGGAAGTTGAGGGATTATGGGAACGGGTTTACATCATGGCTTCTTTTTGGACATCCGTGATAGGATTTTGAGAGTACTCCTCTCTTTAGTATTACGACAAGCTGGACAACATCATGTGGATAGTAATGTGGCCTCAATTTGTCCTAGTTTCTTTGCCTGGTTTCTAGTTTTCTGGTTTTTACCTTATGTTTTACCAATCATTAAGTTAGATGACTTGTCCACTTTTGATTGATTATTGTACCAATTTTTATATCAATTATTTATAATATTGTTGTTTCTTATCGAACAAAACCGCTAGTGAAACAAGAAAGAGAAGAGGAGGAAGAAGTAACAACTGCTCATGTGGGTTGGTGGGTGAGGAAGTTGGGCTTGGATAGTTGAAGAGATGGGTTAGTTAGGATTTGTCTAAAATACCATGTGAATAAAATCACGGGACATGCACGTGTTTAATTTTTTGTTATAAAATTGGACAGAAGGTGCACATTGATGCAAATTAAGAAACTGGAGGGCTAAATTGAGATAAAATTTAGTATAAGGGCCAAATTGAAAGGATTGGTATAGTTCGGGGTCCATTTTGGTAATTTGCTCAACTTTTCATATTTGTTGATTTTTCCTTATTCATGTTTTGCCCCCTCTTAGATGGAATTTTGGCTCCACCTCTGGCTTATATTGTGGCAATGCATTGCTGATTTTAAAGGAATTGACCGTACAAATTTATTCTGCTGACGTTTTATTACCTGAATTATCTTAACAGGAGGGTATAATTCATCATGGGGTCAGTCTGGAGGCTTAAGGAGTTCAGAAGAGTGTACTCCAGAGTTAAAGGTAATTGGTTAACTGCTGGCTATGCAGTTGATTACTTACGTCATGCGTGTCTTGAATTCTGCAATTACTACAGTGTAGTTCTCAGTAGTTGACAAGCTGATTATTTGCTTTTGTAGACATCATATGACTGTGAAAACCCAAAGGAGTCTGAATCCCCGCGCTTTCAAGCTATACTTCGTGTCACTAGTGCACCTAGAAAAAGGTTCCCTGGTGATATCAAAAGTTTCTCACACGAGCTGAATTCCAAAGGTGTACGGCCTTTCCCATTTTGGAAGCCTCGAGGTTTGAATAATTTGGAGGTAATTTAATTTCCTTTCTTAAATATGTTTCTTTGCTGTGGTGATATCTTTTTCTGATGTCATGTGTTCTGACCCTATGTTGCCGTGTACAGGAGGTTTTGGAAATGATAAGGGCAAAATTTGACAAAGCAAAGGAAGAAGTGGACTCTGATCTGCATATTTTTGCAGTAGATCTGCTTGGAATTCTGGAAAAGAATGCAGAAAGTCATCCAGAATGGCAGGAAACTATTGAAGATTTGCTGGTTTTGGCTCGGAGCTGTGCTATGACATCCCCTGGAGAATTTTGGCTTCAGTGTGAAGGCATTGTTCAAGAATTGGATGATAGGCGTCAGGAGCTCCCCATGGGCACGCTGAAACAGCTTCATACTCGAATGCTTTTCATTCTCACGAGGTGTACTAGATTGTTACAGTTCCACAAGGAAAGTGGGTTGGCTGAAGATGAACATGTTTTTCCGCTTCGTCAATCCCTGCATTCTGCTGATAAAGGTATACCTTCAGGCACGGGAAGAGATGGAAAAAATTCTAGTGCTGCAAAGCCCTTAAAACCATCCTCAACAAGGAAATTTTACAGTGAGGAGCAGCATGGTCTGGATTGGAAGAGAGACCTTGTTGTGCAACCTGGAAATTCTTGTTCTCCGTCAGCTGCTGAAATCACAAAGGACTTAGACTCTCCTGCAGTTAGGGATCGGATGGCTTCTTGGAAGAAATTCCCAACCCCTGTTGGTAAAAGCCCAAAGGAAGCTATGCCGGTGAAGGAGCAGCAGAATGATAATAAGGTGGAAACTTCTAAGATACCGAGCAACCGGAGAGGAATGTCTGATTCAGATTTGGTGACTGCTAGGCCTCCTGAGCTTCCTCCAAAAGATGCACATGGTCATTGTTCAATTCCTTCGAAGCACCAACACAAAGTCTCATGGGGTTACTGGGGAGATCAGCCAAACATTTCTGATGACAGTTCAATAATATGTCGCATTTGTGAGGAGGAGGTTCCCACATTGCATGTAGAAGACCACTCTAGAATTTGTGCAATAGCAGATCGATGTGATCAGAATGGGATGAATGTGAATGTGCGCCTGGTTAAAATTGCCGAGACTCTTGAGAAGTTGATGGAGTCGTTTTCACAGAAGGATTTTCCACATGCTGTGGGGAGCCCAGATGGGGCAAAAGTATCAAACTCGAGTGTTACTGAAGAATCTGATCTTCTCTCCCCGAAACTCAGTGACTGGTCTCGTAGAGGTTCAGAGGACATGCTTGACTGTTTTCCTGAAGCTGATAATTCTGTTTTCATGGATGACCTTAAGGGTTTGCCATCCATGTCATGTAAAACACGTTTTGGTCCCAAGTCTGATCAAGGAATGACAACGTCATCTGCAGGCAGCATGACACCTAGGTCCCCATTGTTGACGCCGAGGAGCAGCCAGATAGATCTGCTATTGGCAGGAAAGGGTGCTTGCTCTGAGCATGATGATCTTCCGCAGGTAATTCTGAGACTTGTCTAATGCCTCACTTCTTCTTTGTCTTTTCTATTGGAATTTATGACGGTCTACTTTACTCCGGAACCACAGGATGCGTGATGTATCAATCTATTTCATTTGAATCTCTATTTCCTGTTCTAAGTCTTTTCTTTGCTCCCCTATGTGTTTTCAATTTATCATGGATTTTCTACATTGGTAAGTGGTTGCCACATCTTTTAATGAGCGTCTGATGCCATATTCATTTGGGCACAGGTATACTAGGGGTTTTGTTGCAGTTTTGCTGTGCGAGAGAAATGGTTTTATGATTTTCTAGTTGATTTTCAGCTATGTTATATGTTTTCTGGCAATAAATCTGGATCTGTGTTGTGCAACTCTCAGTCTAACTCAGATTACTGCATGGCTGGAATTTCTATAGTGGTAAAGTAGTTTTTAATATATACACATAGCTATCAGAAGAGGGATTTCTGATAAATATGAAACAGAAGGTGGTAAAATCATGTATCTGATCATTGTGGCAATAGTTTGTGTATACTTATGCCACTGACAACATCCTCACATTTGCTGATTTCAATGTGCTGTTGCCTCTGCAATCCTGGCCCTCTTTCCATTTCTATGCATTGCATAAGACATGCCCTACGTAAGAAAGTTAAAGCATCATGGTGCTTTCGTTCCATGCAGCGCCTTTCTATGAAATGTATTCCACTCATACGGGAACTAGAGGCACTTAGGAGAATGTACAATTTTGGCATAATTGGAGTAAACAATGAGGTGTCCACGTAATTAGTGCCTTTTCTTAGAAAGTGTTTTTTCAAATAAGACAGTCAGTGTGGGCAGATGGAGTAAGAAATTCACAGTTGCTACCATATCCTTAATATTTAGACTTTGGAGTATTTTGTTATGTGAACAGCCTGTCCGTATTGTGCCTAAATAACTGAGTAACTGGATACCTTCAGTACCAGTAGAGATTTTCTTGAATGCTCGATAGTAAAGGTCATATATTGTCTTGGAATGTATGTGTTAGTACAGCTTAAATAACTGATTAGGGCTGCAATCATTCATTGTTAATAGAGATTTTCTTGAAAGTTTTATAGTAAGGGATGTACAGCGTTTTGGCATGTATGTGTTGGTACAGTACTTCAACACAACTGTGTTCTTTCTCCTGACATTTTCTCCGTTGACAGTTTCAAGTTATTTGTAGTATTTCTCTTTGATGCAGATGAATGAACTTGCCGACATCGCCCGTTGCGTAGCAAATGCTCCTTTAGATGATGATCGCTCTTTGCCATATTTGCTCTCTTGTCTTGAAGACTTGAGGGTTGTGACTGATCGCAGAAAGTTGGATGCACTTACTGTGGAGACGTTTGGAGCACGCATAGAAAAGCTGATTCGGTAAGTTCCTTGCAGTTAATGGAGTTGAATTTTTGTGTTTAGACTTTGGAATAAAAATTTCTCAATACCACGATACACCCCCTGTGGGTTGTTTACAGCACGGGGTCTCATGCGTGTATTTTGTCTTATCTTCCTTTTTCCTCTGAAACTCTTGTAGTAAAGCTCACTTGAAACTTCCGAGATTTTTAGCTGAGTAGAAGAGGGTGCTCATTTCAACCTTTTCTCCTTGCTAACCAAGATTGAAAAATTTAAAATAAAGATAACTTTTGTTCTTGCAACTTATGGAGTTGTGATTCTCCAGGGAGAAGTATTTGCAGCTTTGCGAGCTAGTTGATGATGACAAAATTGACATATCAAGTACTGTAATTGACGAAGATGCGCCTCTGGAAGATGATGTCATACGGAGCTTGAGAACAAGCCCTATACATCAGAGCAAAGACCGTACCTCTATAGATGACTTTGAAATTATAAAACCAATCAGTCGTGGGGCATTTGGCCGGGTTTTCTTGGCAAAAAAACGCACAACGGGGGATTTTTTCGCGATAAAGGTACCTATCTGTCTTATTGCTAGTTGCACACGTTATAAAATTTGTCATTTCCTGAGCCTATTTTTGTTTCGCATTATCTTATGCTTTTCTTTGTTTGATCATACCAGTTGATTTTTCTACACGCATGTCATCACACATGCATTGCAAGGAACTCAGTGGCCTATGATCATTATGGACATTTTTTTTTAAATTTTCATTTAGGTATATTGCGCATGCATTGTAATGTATTAAGTGGCCTATGTTCATAATTTCGAATGGTTGGTTCTTGAGTGTTAGATAGTCCCGCTGCAACATATACAAAAGAGAAGTTGGACCATGTTGGTCATATTAACCTGCTGCACCAATTGTGAGTTTTCAAAACTGTCATCCCCTGTTGAGAGATATATTTATCTTTATACAGAAGGAATTTGCATGCAATAGTTTGGTCTCGATGCATGTGCTTTGTTTGTGTGCTTTTCACATATCAGTAATTCTTGTTGTAGTATCTGACATTGCACCATGGGAACACCTACTGGTGGATTCTTCAATGCCAAGTAGTTTGTACCATTGTGCTAGACAGTTCATTCAGCTGTAGATTTTTCCCTAAAATAGTACATATTTCGAAAGATCAATTATTAGTTATTGTAATTTTCTGGTACAAGATAGAATGGATGGATTTTGATTGGTGTTACAGCCATATATCATCTTTACATGCTCGTTTATGTACCTTGAGGACTCATTCCTCCTGTCAGATCCGAGCCACTCGTTGCTTCCTCAAAAGAAGTTTGGATTTTACTCCTTATTTTAGGTTTGTCTCTGTTCTCTGTCTCTGTATGTGTCTCTGCGTGTTACTTTAAGAAAGTTTTTGTGATCTGTCATATTGTTCAACATGGATTGGGAAATTCTTGGACTGAGTACTGAATCTGATTCAGTTCATTGGGAGGTGTTTGGGTGTCACTTCATAGTTTAAAATATAATCAGTCCATGTTCTATTTTTCCTATTGAGCTTGTGTCATGTATGATATTCTTTATGATGGTGGTGGTGACCTGTTGTATTGCTCAACAAGGATTGGAAAATGCTTGGACTGAATACTGAGTCTGATTCAGTTCATTGGGATGTGTTTGGGTGTGCGTTTATAGTTCAAAATATACTCATTCCATGTTTAATTTTTTCGATTGAGCTTGTGTCATGTATGGTAAATTTCTTTGACCTATTGTAATGTGCTCTTTGATTTTGAATTATCCATATCATTTTGAAAATTGTCAAACTGTCTCATTCTGGACATGAGCTCCATCATATAACATTAGGAAAAAAAAAATAAGCGTTTGCAATTTAGAGCGACACCCCTAATGCACCTTTAAATGAGAAAAAAGATTTGGATACATATTCACTTCTTCATTTTTATTTTTTATTTCTCTCTCTCTCTCTCTCTCTCTCTCTCTATATATATATATATATATATATATATACACACACACACATACATACATATGAATATATTCACTTATATATTATTGTTAGGAACATCAGATTTTCAAAGAGTTTTTGAAAAATAAAACTAAAAAGAAAAATTAGGTTCTGAGAATTCCTATTTGGAACCTTCGATGCATATGCTTGAAACTTGCCTTTACACAGTTAAAGCTGAAGACCATGCATTCTTTCGTTACATACTTAACAGTTAACACCGTGAATGTTAACTTCCAAAGGATGTGATCCCTCTATGCCCTTGCTTGGAAGTCCCACATCTTACTAAACTGTGGACATTTTTAGGCTGAATTATGAGAAAAATATATTTAACAGGCAACACTGATTTAATGTTGTGAATGAAGATGTGGATTATATATTCACCAAGGGTCGGTTAAAATATTGTGCCAGAAGCAGAGAATCACTCAAGTTGTCTCTGTATATAACATGCAGTGCTGCAAATGAATTCTCAAATAGAAGAAAGCTATCTGTCTTTCATCACTTCAGTCATAACTGAATAAGACACTTTACTGTAGCTTATGCTGTGTTCAGGCTTCAGGTAGAGCAAGAGTGTATACAGGATAATCTACTACTACATTCCTGCTTAGCTAACCAAAGTGAGCTTTTTGGCATCACTTGCACAGCATTTGAAAGATCGTGACTGAAAAGCTTTTGTCCCTTCACTTCTATCACTTGATAGATACATATAAGTGTATTAACATGGTTGGAGCCATATAATTTAATCTTCAGTTGCTTGAACTACTTTTCCGGAGATGTCCAGTGGGACACTGGTTGATAGAAAATATAGCACTTCTTTTAAATTTGTATCAAGCAATGGTTCAGTAGATCCAATTTGAGGTGGCCCCTTCACTTAGCCAAGTCAGCTTTCCTGTTGTACTGCCTGTGGAATTAAGCTTTTGTTTTTGGAATAGGAAACAGGACTCTTTTATTAATTAAGTAGAAGAGACATAAATCATTTAAGAAAATATTTGCATGCATGAAATCGTTATATTAAAAGGATCAGCACTGTTAGTTGATCTTAATGGTTAGTATGTTAAACATGATTATGGTAGCTAATAAAGAAAAGGATGAAAATTATGGTGACTACTACTATTGAATTCTTGTGCCACTTTTTTTCTTTTCTTTTTCTTTTTCCTTTTGTGGGGCCACACAGAACTACAATCTGACTTGTGAGTTAAGAGAATGTTTCATGGAAATGGACTAATTGAAGCATTGCCTTTTCCCTTGTTTTCGACTGTGTGAAATCAGTAAGGAATCCTTGAGGATATTATCCTTCCACGCTATATATTTATTTATTTCTAGGACACAACAAAGAATTAGAATAGAGGATTTAAAATTTAAACTGCTTCTACCATCATCACTCAAAAATCAACTGATCAAGATCTTTTGGGTACATTGCATAATTTATATGAACATCGGCTGCCCACCTCCTTTAAAATGAAAAAATGAAAAAAAAAAAAAAAGATGGTATGCTGTTTTATTTGTAATCCATTGTCTATAATTTGTTTACACATTGTTCTAATCATACACTTATCATTTACATCTGTTACAGGTTTTGAAAAAGGCAGATATGATCCGTAAGAATGCTGTTGAGAGTATCTTGGCAGAACGTGATATTTTGATATCAGTGCGCAATCCTTTTGTGGTGAGCAGTTCTTGCCTGCAAAGCAACTTAGCATACCTTAGGGAATGGTTATCTCATTTTAACTTGAGTTTTAAAATTCCGCCAGGTTCGCTTCTTTTATTCCTTTACTTGCCGTGAAAATCTGTATCTTGTGATGGAGTACTTGAATGGTGGAGATTTGTATTCATTGTTGAGAAATCTAGGCTGCTTAGATGAAGATGTTGCTCGTGTATACGTTGCAGAAGTTGTAAGTTTGTTCCTTGGAAGAATTGTTTTTTGTTTGTTAAATGAAACTTTTGGATCTGAAATTTAGAATTTGACCAGGTGCTTGCCTTGGAATATTTACATTCTCTGCGTGTGGTGCATCGTGATTTGAAGCCTGACAATCTGTTGATCGCACATGATGGTCACATCAAGGTAAATACTTCTCCTTTTTGCCTGCATTCGTGGATGTAAGTATTGTGCTGATTGCTCATTTATTTGGAATGTGAACATTATCTAGTGGATTAGTAATCCACGAGTTTATCATTTCCTTTGGATTTTTTGGCCTCCTAGTTGCATTGATATTGTGGCCCTGTACATTCATTTGATTAGATGAGTGTAATTGAGATAAGAGAAACCACAAAGAAAACTTAACAAAAAAGTTATTTGTCTTGAATTGGGGAAAACAGTCTTTCCTGAATTTTGCACTGGGAAGTACATGAGATGGTTGGTTGTTGCTGGTTACCATTGGCTACATCTTTGTTCAGAATTCGACTTTCTTGGAGCTAGTGGGATGCACCCCTACTTTTGAAGCCTTCGATAACATTTGGGCATCAGTTCCTTATTTATTTTCTGAGAAATATTAGTGCGTCCTCTGATGATATCTGCAACACCAACATGTCTCACTGGACCCTAGGCTACTTTCCTTACATTCAATTCATGCCTTTGCATCACGAATTGATTGCTAGCTTACACATTGGACTTATTACGTATTTGCTCATAATATTTTCAGCTCCAATTGGACAAATGAATGAGGAAAAAACTTTATTATTTTGCATTGGGTTTGCTTACTATTCACACTAGAAACCTGTTTCTAGTACTTAGGTTTAGCTAGCATTTCGGGCACCATTGGGCCTCTGTATGGCTGATGCTGCCTTCTGGATCCTAGGCTTCGATACTATGAGCAAGTTTCCCTACCAGTTCCTTTGTTCATTTGTCATCTTGTTCTTTGATACTATGACAATGTGCTGTTGTGCGTTTTCAAATTAAAGATGATATGCAATCAGTAAGACGAAAGACTTCTTGTCATTACCTTATTTTTTTCAGCTTTGCTTTTCGTTTATACTTAAAATTTCACATTCTATACACAATAATAAAAGAGGCTTGACACAGGTTGGGCCAAGGAAAGATAACATTCCTGTACTTGAGAGAGAACCATCTTCTTTATGAAGAAATAAAGGACATTTGAATGCTTGTACTTAATGTATATGATGTAGTCCAATAGCGATATCTAATTTACCATTTTCTTTTTATGTTTGATGCATATATGATTAATCTACATCCACATACTGGGGTGGTTTAATACTCACTATTTTCAATGCTTTTATTTTGTATTCATAAAAGAAAAATCATACCACACCCAAGGTTGCCGTTATAATATTATCCAACTTATTGCATTCAAATAATCTCCAAATTTCTATTCAAATCCGTTCACGTTGATGTAAAAAGTTCACTATCACAAACAATGGTCTCTAACTAGATTGCCTTGCACAGGGGGCATCTCACTAGTATTGTAATACGGTTGTTTTGCCTGTTTGGCAATTTTCCAATTTTCTGTTCACACACCTTACCTTGCAGTTGTGTCAGAGTGACTTGAGCATTTTAGGGTGTCTGTAATTGATGGATGGACGTTACATAAGTTTTTCTTTTTTGGATCAGCAAGTCACACAAGATTGAAGGAGAAGAAACTGTCTGCTGGTTGATATTATTAAAATTTCGCATTTGCTTTTTGATTCCAAGTGATCTATTTTTGTTGTCATTTAATTGATATCTTTTGGGTTAAACTCACTTTCTGTTGCATTTTTTTGAGCAGTTAACAGATTTTGGGCTGTCAAAGGTTGGTCTCATCAACAGCACCGATGATTTATCTGGTCCAGCAGTTATTGGGGCATCACTAATGGGAGAAGATGAACCTCAACCCTCTGTATCTGAGCATCAGCGAGAAAGACGTAAGAAACGTTCTGCTGTGGGTACACCTGACTATTTGGCACCTGAGATTCTTTTGGGAACAGGACATGGTTTGTACATCCTATTTCTCTTTTCATGGACTATGGACATGGCTTATTTATTTGTTACATTTTTAGGATATGGTGTGTTGAAAGGTTAATATTTTCCTTGAAAGTTAAAACACAGGAAAGCATCATCCTAAAACTTTGAAAAGAATGCAAAAGTTTCATTGATAATACGTTCAAATGGCTTTTAAGGAAGATCATTCTGGTGACTTAAGATATAAGGACACTAAATAACTAGAATCTACCACGAGTACACTTTACTTGACAAGAGTGTTGCTTTTTCTTGGTTGATTATTAGAGTTCACTGTATCAAACTCTTGTTTCTTCAGGCACAACCGCAGATTGGTGGTCTGTGGGTGTTATTTTATTTGAGCTGATTGTTGGCATTCCGCCTTTTAATGCAGAGCATCCCCAGGTTTCCATCTTTCTTACGAGTTTTGTTTTTGTTTTTTTGTCCATTTCCTTTCTCTTCTTCCTTGTATTCCTTGTTTATATGGCCTAATTTGCTTTATTAATTTGCTCAAAAACTCAAATCCTGGCTGAATTTCATTAATTGTATGCATTGGATGTCTAAAAGCTTATCATAGTAGAGATCGATAGATTTGATGAATGGCTTGTTTGGCATGAAGGAAAGTAGGATGGAAAATGGGGAGGAAAGGAGGAGATTCCTCTGTTCAGTACCAAAGAAAAATTGGATGGAATGAAAAAGTCAGTGGAATGTCAATTCATCACGCCCACAATTTTTTTCCTGCCCAAAACTGGGTGGAAAGTGGGACAGGAGAGTGGGGCAGATTGTAGAGGCTACTTTGATTGCCTTTATGCCCTTTAAAAGGTGCTATCTCTACATCAGCAAGATTCTTCTAGAAACACCCACTTGGCAAATTTTGTGACAAATAGCTACGTTGACCATCCTTTGAAACAGTCCACCCAGTATTTTTTTTAACTTTTCGTATCGTTGGTAAAGAAAAAACTGTTTTTATGAGAGGGTATAATAGTAAATTGTATTTGTATTTTTTCCGTTTCCACTTGTTTTTCCTCCAACACCAAACAATGGAAATATGTTCTTCCACTTTTCCATACATCATACTACACAAAAAGGAGAGAAAGAATAAGAATATTTCCTTCCTCTATGGATGAAAAGCCCATCTCTCTTACTTTTCTATTCTTCCTATTTTCCATTCCTCTTACCAAACACAACATAAATCTTTTGAAACTTGTCAGTTTTTATTCCCTACCGGGATGTTCTGCTAAAATCTTTCAATTTTATTTAGGTTTATTTGTTATATAAACTTGTCAGCTTCGGATGCTACACCTTAAATATTTTTCGGTACTGTTGATGGAGGGCTATCATAATGTATATCTTGTTCATGTTTCCTAGTCTCTCTGTCATGATTTTGGAGGGCATTGTTGCTGGCTTTAAAACTGCTATCAAATACCTTCCTCATAGGGCGACAGCTAGTTAATCCCTCATGATCATACATGATCTCTCTTTATGTTTCTTAGTTCCTAAGACTCAGAGTAAGTCCTTGAAGAGCACCTCACTTCTATGATTCTCCTTAAATATTGACCTTGAAAAATATTAGCTTTTCATTCAGTCCAAAGTGATCCATACTGTTGGCAGCACAACCCTTGCTCAAGCAATGAGAAGAGATTCTTGCACTGAGTTGAGATTCCTTAGAGAAATAGGCAGTACCCAATGGAGCAAAGAATTTCTGCTGCAATGTGAAAGAGATATTCTTGGCTCTTTGATTAAGCACATGAACCCAGATTTAAAGCATGCATAACCTTCTGAATTAGCCATTAGGGTATAGTTGGTGTTAGATTTTACGAGGCAATTGACTGCCAAAGCTAGCAATCCAAATCAAATGGAAAGCTATCAATCTTGAAAAGTATGTACACTATGATTTTGGGGTGAAAATACAACCATTTTTACGACACCAGCAGATCTTAACTAGTTTTTTCTCCCTCTTTTCTTAGTATTCACGCTTTTTTGTCCTGACTGGGACTTAAATCCGGCACCTTTCTTGAGGGTGACGAGATCCTGCCAAGCTGAGAGCTGGTTGTCCAACTACGGTCAATTTACTACTAGATATTATGTACGTTCAAATCTTAGTCACAATTAGAAGTTTCTAATAAAAGGTAGCATTGCCACATCTGGGAGCAAAAAACTGTCAAATATGTTGGTTTGAAAAAAAGTTGTTCTTTTTAATAATAAGATATATCACAGATCACTTGAATCTTTAAAAGTTCACTAATTAACAATCCTGTCAATGTGATTTCAAAATTGTACAAAACCGTTCGATTGTTCTAGAAGGTTTTGATTGTGGATTTATTGTTGTTGATAATGTTTTTGTTACTTTAGTTTACTTTGTATTTTCTTAATTTTTAATTACCTTTCTTTTGTAGACAATCTTTGATAATATTCTCAATCGTAATATACCTTGGCCCCGGGACCTTGACGAAATGAGCCCTGCAGCACAAGATCTGATTGATCGGTAATGGAAGCATTATGATTGTCATTACATTGGTTTATTGTTTTGAGTTATTATTACTTGCGATGAGGTTAAGCTAGCCGTAATATGACTATTTGGCTCTGAATGTCCGTTTGCAATCCTATGCATTTTTTTGTGGGATTAATTTGCATCTTCATTCAGATTTGTCGAATGTCTCATGTTCGTGATTGGATTGTTCATTAGTTCTAGATGCGTAATTTTATTTGCTAGGATAGATTTTATCCATGAATGGCTTCAAAGATGAAGGCGGAGATCGAATGGCTTCAAAGATGAAGGTAGATGATCTTGTACCAAGTCCACACAGGGAAAAAAGTGTTGAACTAAATTCAAATTTGGCAAGTTTTTCTTGGTAGGGGTATACAAGGATCAAAATGTCGTGTTGAAACGTCCGAAAAGTTTCGGAATTTCAACACTCCGACACGAAATAGTGGTTGAATTCCAAAATTCCAATGTTTCAGTCTAAACGACACTGTTTCGGACCGTTTCGGTCGAAACAGTACCGTTTCGACGAAACAGTACCGTTTCGACGAAACAGTGGATAGATTCAATTCACTCTAGGCCAAAAGAAAAAAGAGGGAGGCTCAGAAAAGCAGATTCCACAAGTCAGAATTCATAGCTCCAAGCCAAAAAAAAGGGAAAAAACAAAGATCTCAGGTCTTTCGAGCAAAAAAAAAAAAAAAAAAACAGAGTGAAGAGGGAGAGAGAAAGACACCACAGACAGAGAGAACTGTAGACCAGAAATTGAAGGAGAAGTTCCTGTAACTTACCTCTTTTACTGCAGATTCGAGCAGATTCAGCCATTATCCAAGCAGATCTAGGGCTCGGGAGTTGTCTAGTCTTCATTGCTGTGACCACGAGCTACCACTGGTCCACTGGTGTGTTTATCTCTTCTTCTCCTCTCTTTCTCTCTCTCTCTTCAGCATCGGTATCGCTCATCGCGATCACCTATGCCTTTCTATCGTCTCTCTCTCTGTCTGTTTGTTCGTGGTTGAACTGTGCAGGTTCTGCCTTTTATATATATATCTTTTATAAGTATGAATAATTACATTTAATATCCCACTGTAATTATTTTTAATACGCCACTATAATTATATTTAATACTCACTGTAATTACATTTAATACCCCACTACAATTGTATTTAATTCCCCACTACTGTGCAGGTCTTCTGCCTTTTATTTTTTTTTTAATAAGTATGAACAATTACATTTAATACTCCACTATAATTATATTTAATACCCCACAATAATTATATTTAATATTCATTGCAATTACATTTATTATTCATTGTAATTACATTTAATTCGCCATTGAAACTAATTTAAGTGATTTTCGCCTTATGTCAAGTTTTTTTTTCCTCAAATTTAAATTTATTCTTGTATAAATGGATATTAACCCAATAAATATGTTGAATTAATCAATTATTTAACTTATTTTTATAAATAAATAAATTGTATTTGTGTTTTCACGTGTTTTCATATTTTTTCTTCGTTTCCATTGCGTTTCTGAAACGTTTCTGTTTTTTAGCCGACCGAAACGGTACTTCGAAACGAAATTTTGATCCTTGGGGTATATCACTTGGGAGTGAAGAAATCTTTAGTTTTTCCATTTTTGATGTTATATAAGTTGGTTATTAGTAATATGATAAAATTCACTTTTGATTTAATTGATGGCTTATCAACTGAGTTTGTATGCTGCGTTAACTAGTTATGGCTTCGAATGTTGTGTGGCCAAATTTAAAGTTTTATCACAATAATAGTTAACGTGAGTTTTTCAAGTGAAGACTGTAGCCTTAGTGTCATTTGTTGAATGGATGCAATAATTACGCATCCTGGTTTGCTTGGACACATCATTTAAGCTGCATTTAAGGATTTGGTGGGAGAAGTTAGGGTGGGCATTGATTGGCTTTGCTTGAACACGTGGTTGGATTATTTGGCTTCAACCATGTCAGTGCCATTGCCATAAGCACTTACAATACTTTCAGTAATGCATAATCCGGCTAGGATCCCTGTTGGGTACTTGTCTACTTGAGTCGAGAACCCCTAGTCATATCTGGATTCGGAGATCCAGGTCCAGATACCATTGCACTGCCACTGACCACTGTTAGACCATTACCACCATTTCTGTGACCGGCTCTCCTACCTTTCTTCGCAGTATGATATGATTGTAACACTTCTCCGATGCTGCCATTACCATCGTTGTAATCATCTCTCTCCACATTGGTAACTCCACTGTCATTAAAACCATCAACTGGCTCTAGAAACCCCCCCCCCCCAAAAAAAAAAAAAAAAAAACATTTTTTTTTTGGGGGGGGTGGGTGGAGTTACCAAACTCGAAATTAGAGCAGTGGATTCCTAGAACCGTTTTTTAGCATTTTTTTGGCGGGTAAGGAAAACAAGTTCTTTTTTTTTTTTTGCGTGTGTTTCTTTTCTTGAATTTTGCACGCCATGCATGTACATAGGCTGTTTACGTTTCTATAATCTTTCGTGGATTTCTTACCATTAAAAAATATCTAAACTCAGGATGCTAATGTAATTTACCCTTGAACAGGCAATCTATTATTAATCAAATGATATGAGGTGGGGTCTCCATAGTAAACAATGGTGTTGTGGTCACAAGTACACTGAATAATTGACTTTGCCTTTAAACCCTTACCCCTTGGGGGAAGGGGAGGTAGGAATCTCAAGGGATTTCTGTATGAATGAACTCTTTGTGGGTGATTGAGTTGGTATCTCCACCGAAGTCTCTATCTTGTGTCTTTGTTACACAATTTGGATGCTGATTTCATACCAGTCTCATTTTCTTCTGCTTCTTAATGCATAATCTTCAGTTTTCTACAATTTTTTGTGTTCCAGCAGTGGACATCATACACAATTGGAGGAAATTAGTTATAACTTTTTTTTAAAAGAAAGTCCTTAGGGTAGAGTATATGTGATTATGTGTTATTGCTTGTAGTTCATGCTCAAAGTATATGTGATTATGTGTTAAAGCGAATCTATAATATAAAATAGGACAAACTTCAATAAGCCCCTCTGACGGTCTCAAATAGACTCATTTAACGGCTATCAACATATCTTCTCACTTACGTTGCATCGTGCCTTACCCCTAGTAAGAAATAAAGCATGCTTCGTAAAATGTGAACAAGGGTCTCTACATAATATGATTTGCTGGAGTGTCAGAAATTGTCTTGTGGACTTTGATGGTGTAAGATGTGATCCCATCTGGTGCTTAAGGCTCAAATACTTTGATGATTTGTAGTTGTAATGAAGTCCATCCAAAAGGAGTTTGCATTGTCCAAAACGCTTGACCTTCCATCTGATGCTGAATGCATTTACTAGAAGCTTGATTCTAGACTTAATCTGAGCCAAGAACATTATCTGAACAGTTTGGTGCTTAAAATTTTCAGCAATATGGTTTGTCAGGCTGAGTTTTTGATTTTATTGAATGGTTACATAACCAGGCAGGCACAGTTCAGTTAGCTGGTTCTCTACTGATGTAGTAACATGATTTGCAGATTATTGACAGAAGATCCTAATCAGAGACTTGGAGCTAGTGGAGCATCAGAAGTAAAATTATTTCTTTAAATAATCTCAATATGAGCCTTGTTTGTCATTTTTATGGTCATGTCCCAGTAAAAGTTCTGTATGGTAATGATTTCACACTAACCTTATTTTCCAGGTGAAGAAACATCCATTTTTCCGAGATATTAATTGGGACACACTTGCGAGGCAGAAGGTTTGATTTTTTTAATAAATGTATTAATCTGCAGGAGTGGTACATGCATGGAATATATGTGTAACAGATTGGTGATGCTAATAGAGTTTGAACCTTGCCCAGGCTGCATTTGTTCCTACCTCTGAGAGTGCATTGGACACTAGTTACTTCACAAGTCGCTACTCATGGAATCCTTCAGAGGAACAGGTTTATGCAGCCAGTGAATTTGAGGATTCCAGTGACAATGGTAGCATGAGTGGTAGCAGTAGTTACCTAAGCAACCGCCATGGTGAACAGGTGCAGTAGTTTGAAAACTGGTGGAACTATGTAAAACAATGAGAGCTTTTGGATTTATATATTTATAATTGGGTGAGGTCGATTAATTTATTTGATGGCAATGACGAACAGGAAGATGAATGCGGGGGTCTTGCAGAATTTGATTCAGGCTCTTCTGTCAACTACTCCTTTAGTAATTTTTCATTCAAGGTATTTAACTACCTAATTGGCTGTACAGACATTTGTGTATCTTCTGCTGTATAAATGAACTCTTGCGTACCGCATACTGCATAGGGGAACAGATGGTTTATTAATTTTCCTTAGCTTTGTTGTCACTCTTCCATGTTTCCCAGACCACTAGCAAATTTACTGTCCACATTTTTCGATAACTCTTCAAGAAAATCTATAAGCAATGTTATTCTTCTTCTTGTCTTAGATTGTCATCATTGTTAATGCTTTCACTTTGCTTGTTGCCTGGTTTTTATTATTGCAAATCTTACAGAAAGCTAGCAATTTTATCAGTAAGAATAGTTTAGAAAAACTCTCAACTGCTAAGCAATAAACATTGGGGTGTTAATTTTGCCTTGGAGAAGGATCAGTGGATTGTTCATTTTTATTGTACCCAGCCTATCCTATGTTTTATCTTCATCTATCTCCCTCTCTGTAATTGGTAATTTTTTTTAAAATTTTTTGTTTATTATATATTTCTGCACTTTCTTATATTTATTTGCTTTTGTTTACCAGAATATCTCCCAGCTAGAATCAATCAATTATGATTTGCTCACTAAAGGTTGGAAAGATGATCTGCGGGACAAATCCTAATCCACAGCTATGGAATCTTTTCTTCTGTCAAAATCCAAGATTGGTTTTTTACCATTGGATAAGACTTTGTAAACCTTGTAAATGTACGATATTTCCTGATAGTATGCTTTATTGTTTAACATATTGTAGTTTTACTGTCAAGTAGTAATTTACTTGGTTTATATCACTTGCAGAGATAGAAGCAACTTGAAGAGTGAAGACTGTAACTTCCTTGGGATGTGCTTCCCTCACATAGGCAACCACTCCACTCTCTGGGGTTCCCAAGTTCTGATTGAGTTAATTTATATAATTTGGGGACTGTATGTATCTTAATGTACATGCCCCCGTGTGGGTTTGCAGTTTTTGGTCTTTGATTGTACCCTTGTAATGCGGTAATGAGAACACATCCCTTTTTTCATGTCTAAACTTCTTACACACATAGGTCACATTATTGTACAAGCTCCCTTGTTTTAGCAGCCGAAAGAGGGAAGTAGTAGGCCGTTTTACCCCCATTTTATAAAAGGTTGATTCTCAAACTCGAACTTGCTACTTGTTGCTTGGATCAATGAGTACCACCCTGGTTTGAACTCTACATGTTGATGCCTTCCACTGCAGGGTGTTGCCTTTTTGTTTCTTCTGAGGTTTTGGGGTTGGGCTTGGTGTGGTGTAATTAGGGGTTAGGCTTTTGTTTGGGTTTTGAAGTTTAATTCAGTTCAACAATGTCTTAATTTCAATTATCTGGATCTAACATGAATCGTGTTTCTCTACTGTGTTGTATCGGGGGTTTGTACATGTTCCGAAGGGTAATCAATTGGCAATAAAATTGACATGATCAAGGGTGGTGTTTTATTTTTAAAATTTTGAGGGGGTTGTTTGGCACAACTGTTACATGAGCGTTAAAAAATTTGAATATAAAAAACAATCTCTTTGCGTGTAGGATTTATCCCGCGGATATGTTATAACAAGCAGACATACAACTGTACAGCACCAAATCTCTTCCCATAAAATATGTATGTATATGTATCCACCAAATCTTAAGGTAGGAAAAGATTTTACCATTGTTTACAAAAAAAGGTTGAACATTTCTAAATATTTTACATAATTCTTTAAGCAAAATAATGCGACCAGCTAGCCTCACTTTTATTTCAGATTATTGAGAGTACAGTTATTGAGATGTTAGTATTAAGAGTATTTACAGTTCAGGAATACTCGTCATTCCTAAGTACCACTTTCCAAAATTGGATCACAGAAAAAGGGCTTGGTTACGATGTATTTTGATGATGTATGAATTCGAAACAAGAGAGATATGCTTGAACTGAAGAGCTTAAGATTTAGGAACAATAGAGGGTGAGTGAACAATAAGACGAGATCAATTTTGACGACCGAGCCTGGTGGCTCTATGATGTGCAATAGTAATCAATAAAAAAGGGTAAGAACTAGAAAACGAATAAGAACACAAATTACAGTGGTTCACTAGCTGAAGAGCATGATTATTCCACTCTAATGAAGTCTATTGATCCTTGAAAATTTTTCTACTTCTTAGAGAAGAAAATAGGGTTACAATTTTCTCAATGTCTTTACATGGGTGAATGCCCTTGTCTTTATAACCCCAGGTGGGGTGGCTCTCACATCATCATCACATGGTCTCTTAGTTTGTTAGGATTTTGTTAAAAGAATATTGAATCGTTACAAGCTACATCCCCTAGGTGTGGCGTGGCATTCTAAAATATGCTGAGGTGACAGTGTGGCCTGTCTTCAAGCTTGAATATGCTGTGGTCATCCAAACTTATGAAAGATCTTGTTTGGAGTCGTTCTGCTTCGGGACAACCTCCTATACTTTTAGCAAACTCGTGAATAAAGGAACTTGTCCCAAACACCTGACTTGAGCTAGAGTTGTCACTTCTCCTCAGGGTATAGTGAGTATGACTTTGGTTCCTATACCTAAGATCATATTTGGGCAACCTGGGTTCCTTTGGCTTAGGATGTATGTGGACGAGTTAAACATTTTCACATAAGGTTGAGTGTACAATACTAAGGTGGGAAGACAGACCCAGTCCATTAGCTCTTTCCACAAACTAGTTACTAAAGTATTTTTTAATTTATCCCTAATGCCATCCTTGGGTATCTTTATATTCATAATAGATTGGAGTTGGAGCGATGATAAACACTTATTTAAGTGATGTATTACGGTTTTGAATTTGAAAATTGGTCTTTTCAAAAGAAAGGAATAGATTTCTTATTGCTTTTCTCTCCTAGACCCCGATATATACAAGAGTTTTTGTATTAGATGTGGCCTCTTTATTAAACATAAATCTGTACATTATTATCACAATAAATAACTATTGTTACTTTTAAATACTAAATCTATACCAAATGAGAAAATACCTACAAAATGGTGGAGAGAAGCTTGAAAGAGGGCACAATAACAAAGAGAGGGATATACGTAATAAAGTTTTGTCTTTGGAAAAGACCGACCCCTTTAAATTCTTAGTTGCAAAATCTTGGGAGAACCAAAGGTAATCAATTAGAGTAAGTCCAGTTAGTTAGATGAAAAGGTTTAGGATTTAGTTTTCTTGCAATTTACACAACAAAAAAGAGAGAAAACAAAAATTATGTTGTGCTCCATCAATGATACATTACCAATTCAAAGTGATTGGTGGTCCATTGTTGACAAGAACTGTCTGATTTTTGTGACATGTGATCAATCCTTTCCTGATATCTAACCTTAAAATAGCTCCAACACAATTTTTTGGAAGAGGATACAAATAAGACAAGACAAACCCAAAAGAAATAAATCCATTATAGTAAAAAGCAATAAGTCATATGATTTTGTCTCTTTCCTCTCATTTTCTCACTCCTCTTTATCTAAATCTAATCTGGCAATAAGGAAGAGAGGTTTTCAATCCCTCAAAAGCTTTGGATGCTTTTAAAAGAGAAAGTGGTTCCAACATTACCCAGGACCACTAAAACCAGACCATATGCTCATTTCAAAGCTGACCTATCATTTCTGTGCAAAAGTTGGGAACAACATGGCCCTCTTTTGGTACTTCATATCACACAATTTTGGACCTTTTGAGCTCTTAATTTTTTTTAGTTCAAGGGTCAAGAGTGTCGGATTAGCTTACGTACACTTCGACTAATTTTTTCTCCAATCCGATCAAAGACAGGTAAGTCATTCCGAGACTAGAATATTCATACAGAGCTACGCTATTATATGACGGATTGATTGATAGTAGGATCAATCATCTTTAGTTTCATTTAGGATCGAAGGATAAATTTTCCATGGCCTTGACCTTAAGAGTTTGCTAAAATTCAAACTCAGGACGTCTGGATAATTTCTAAATTTTTTTATTGGTAGAGAATTGTTCCAACAAATGATATTAGCATTAAAAGGATAACATGTGTCCTCTGATTTAGAGTATATACAATTCCAAACGAGATGAGTTTGCGATTTAAATTGCTTAACTTTTCAACCTCAAATTGTCATTATAACACAAATGGAAGCATGACTTAGGTAATCTCAAATTGTAACCATTATCAATATTTTTTTTATTTTGGTGACATATTTGTTTTCTCGTTTGGTTTTTTTTTTTTTTGAATAATGTTATGCTTCCTAAATTGTATATCAAAAAATTTATCATAAATGAGTTGACACCTTCACACACCACACGCTGTGAGTTCCTAAATTAACTTTTTCCATAAAATGTGTGGTGTGAGAAAGTATCAATTCATTTGAAATGAAATTTTTGGAATATAATATGAGAAGTGTAACATTACTATTTTTTTAGTTCAACGGTCATGATGTCTCACTTGGCGAGGGCAATTGCAAAGCCTACTCAACATTTGGGGGGAGTGAAAACTCATCTAATACACTTTTTAAAAAAATTTCATTTAACGATAAATTATCTACTATAGATTTAATTCAAACCCAATGTATATAACAGTTTCAAACCATGTGTAATGGGCGAGTCTACACCACCAAAAAAAAAAGTTTTGGCAACATACCACCAATTACTCAATTTTAGGATCAAGTTGTAGTTTTTTTTGGGTGTTTAGGATCGATCTTAAATACCCAAAAAATTATAACTTTTTTTCTATAAGAAATCTCCAAAAGCTATATCTTGTCACAAAAATTGTAAATTTTGGTAGCCTAATCAAACCGAGGTGTAATAATCCCTCCATCTGCCCATAACAAACAGTCAAGACAACTTTAGAAACTCCTATGACTAAACAGCCACCTTTATGTCTCCAACCAACTTCTAATGAGTCCAGCTAAAAAGCAACCAACTTCCAAGAAAGAGAAGGTAATAGTTTAATTTGGGGTTGCATAAAGTTACGAGAATAATAAAGACAGTCCATCTTTACCTAGGCGGATTTAATATATAAATCTAACCACCACCCTCACATCATGGGATGATTCACCAGACAAAAAAAAACATTGAATCAATTTTAGAATTTAGTTTCCTTATCATAATAATTTTGAGCTTATTTTCTAATCAAAAATAAATTTCATGAACGCGTAATTTAAATTCACATTTTTCAATATAAAAACTTATTTGTAAAACAGATGTTTAATAGAAAAAGCTAAAACGTGTTTTGAAAGCACGCTTCTATTAAAAAAAAAAAAATCCTAACCTTACAATCTCATTTCCCACCCATAAAAGCATCCAATCTGGAGTTCTCAAAACATAAAAGTTGGTTCATAAAGCAAAAGCAAAAGCAAAAGCTGAAGTAATAATTACAGCAACCATGACAAGCCAACAATGACAAATTGAACAGTTTTTGGCCCCCCAAAGGAAATAATAAAAGGCTCTTACAGTGGGGATTGAGAAAAAGAAAATAAACAGTTAAATTTTAATGAAACACAATCATCCCCAGATTAAAGAACAACATAAACGGAAGGTTTAACAATCTAAAACTGGGCACAGTAAATTGATGATGATGATAAGGCTTGTTTAATTGAATTGTTGTGGCATCCTGGACACACACAGATTCTTAGTCAGTTTCCTTCACAACATCAGGCTGTGGATCATCTGGCAAACTCGAATAACAGAGCTCCTCGATCCGCCTTGTGACCTCGGACATTGAAGGCCGCTTGTCAGGGTACTGAGCTGCACAATCTATCGCAAGCTGCAAGAGCTGAACCATTTCCTCCTCAGCATTCTGGTCCCTAAGGAGTTCAAGATCAAAAACCTCCGATGTCCACTCTTCTCGTACTATGGATTGTACCCATCTTGGCAGATCAACACCTTCTTCATTCAAGAGGGCGTGTGTGGGTGCCTTGCCTGTAAGAAGCTCTAAGATCAGCACCCCAAAACTATAAACATCAGCCTTTTGTGAGACTCTGCGGGGGTCAGTCACTTCTGGTGCACGATAGCCTGCAACACGGTTGGGGGTGGACGAAGGTCCAACAAGGTGGGCAAGGCCAAAATCTGAGACTTGGGCTTTATAGGACTTTGTGAGGAGGATATTGGATGATTTAATGTTTCCATGGGAGATGTTGGGGCCCTGAGAGTGTAGGTAGTCGATGGCACGGGCAGTTCCAAGGGCAATGCCAGACCTGATTTCCCAATTCAGTGGTGTCCTACCAGCTCCTTTGTTGCCTGAGAAGAATAGGAGAGAAGAGAGCAATAAAGAAGGCATAAATACGGCAAAACTTGATTACTGCAACCAGTTTAATCGGGTTTTAGAGAT